CCGTCGGACAAGTGTCCAAAACCAGAAAATCTTCGTTTAACGTATGCTGGGACACAAGCGTTTGTCGACGGGTGTTACGTTAAAATAGAAGAGAGAACGTAATCAATTATTGCAGCAGGGTTTTGAACACAAATTATTTACATATTTGGGTATCGTTATTTGATTAGTTATGTAATCTTATGGGTTAAGGTTTCGTTATTTTTATAGGTTTTAGGTATATCGGAGTTAGTTAACTAAAATAATAACGTTAAAATAAAAGAGAGAGAATGTGATCAATTATTGAATTAGGATTTTAAACCAGAATTATTTACATATTTGGTTAAGGTTGTTCGCGTAATTATGTTGATTTAGTTAACCGAGGTAATACTTATATCTAATAACACATGTCGTTCCCGTTCACGCAAAACACATGTAGTCCAAAATGGGTGTTTTGAGAATGAGCTTTTTAAAATTGTACAAACTTTGAGATATTACATAACGGACTTAATTATAATATAAAATCACTCTTTAAAACGATTTTTAACATAATTGGATTTGAGGGAGTATAGCATATGGTATACACAATTGCATTGTACGTTTTATTTCATAAATATCTCAAAAAACCCATACTTGGACTTTTGGTGTTTTGCGCTATTTTTCATTAGGCTTAGTTATTAGTATGGCTTACCAATTTGTTGGTGTATTCAATTCTTTCAAAATATATCTTCTATAAACTGTTTAAGCTGTCTATACAGGGTGTTCCACAATGATTCGACAAATGAGATAACTTTGGTTCTAGTGAATATTTTTAAAGTTATTTTTGTTGAATTTATTTATATTCATTCGCGCTATAAGTACCATGTTTCTTGTTGCACTTACTTGTTTTAATTTTATATGTATATTTTTTTTTTTTTAAAATAGCCTATTTTTTAGAATAGTTTTTAAAAAGAATTGGCGAAAAAATTTGTATTTTTATTCTTACATTAAAAAGTTATAGTCATTTGAAATTTATGAAAATTTGAAAATTTTTTTCCGCGTTTGTGTAGGCCATTTAAACATGTTATTAAATTACAATTATTCATCTTTATATTTTACCAATGTTTTTTTTTTACTGACTACACGTATACCTAGCATCATGGTTATAGACAAACAGGTTATGTATTTTTTTGTCCTAAAACGGCGGTGTAATCATAATACTGCTGTTACGCATATTTTTTAATATGGTATAACCCGGACATAATTATTGCGAGTAGCAATATCAAACAACGGTGCAAAAAGAAAGTCGAAACACCAATACCAAATTCCCAGCACAGACCAATAACATGTCAAATAAATGCTATTATACACCCAGAAAACGTACCGATGATAAGACGCTATAATTTCAAAAAAGTCGACTGGGAAAGTTTTAAAACACAGATGGATACCGAAATCAACAAAATCATCCCAACGCCTGAAAATTACGGCCATTTCACAAACCTAGTAAAACTATTTCAAAACAAAATATACCAAGAGGTTGCAGAACGCAGTATATTCTGGGGACGGGGAAAGAAAACAAGGAACTACTAGAAGATTACATTAGACAATTTAACAATGATCCTTTTGCCGAAGAAACAATCACCACCGGAGAATCCTTAAAAACTATCAGAAGCAAAACGAACAATGAGAGTAATCTGGGAAGGTGTTGAGATTAAAAATACTAAATACTCAAAATACCTTGGCGTCACACTAGACCGAATTTTATCATTCAAACATCACTGCGAAAACATCACTTAAGACAAAAATCACTCGCAAAAAACAACTACAACTTAAATCCAGGAAAAGCTTTCTTACTACAATCCAACAAATGAAGAACTTACCAGAAACATAAAGAATCATCAGATGGAAAGATAGAGAGCTTGAGATTGCTGCTGCTGATGTTCTTTTTTAAAATAATTTAAAATTATTATGACAATTTAATATAATGAATGGTAAAGGACTATTTAATTAATAAATATCTACAATAAATAACCATTTAAACACTTATGTATCAGATGGCATTTGACATTCTTTTTTTTAAAGTACTCAGAGAAATACATGAGCGGTAGTCAAATGGAATAATTAAAAGCTATACAACTAAAACATTTTTGAGCTTTCCAAGTACGGCATAAATTAATGTTGCACTGATTTTTCCTCGCAGGGTAACGATATTAAGTCTTATTAATTAACTGAAATTTTTATGTATAAGGTAATACGTTTTCAAAGAATAAGTATTTGATATCAAGAAACTTATTCATAAGTCGCATACACTAGTATTTGTGTAAGAATAATAGTTCTATTGATAAATTGTATACGGTTAAATAGTATTTATACCATTAGAACTAGATTAACATGTCTCTTAGCTATTAGTATTCCTAAGGTATAGCAATGGATTGTGAGATATTTAAACATTTTTTTAAATCTTACATTTATTATAATTATTATCCCAAAAATATACATAATTTAATAATGTATAATTGAATAAATGTATATAGACATTGCTGAAAAATATGTAGATGTAAATTTTACACTCCAAAACATTTTTGAGCTTTTGTGGCATTTACATATAGGTTTTACGAAAACAATAAAAGATTAGGTAATGTTTAATTTTACCAGTATTTAAATATACATTAATAAATAAGTCATTTTCTGCTTCGAAACAGTTGGTTGTATTGATATTTAGTTAAACTAACAACCTCAAATCTTGTTTCTTTTTTATATTCTATTATATGCTGTACTGACATCTTTAAAATATATCCATAGAAAGACATACTTTTTATTGATTTTTCCACTTTCAAAGTTATTTTACCTCTAAAGTTTAAATAGTATTAACCGTAACTTCATTTTACTTAACTAGTACTAAACTAATTTCATACTATACCTTTAAAAGCAAAGTTATTTTTTATGCTTTTATGGTAAAAAAATATATATCTTTAAAATCAAAATAGATGAAAATATAAAATTGTTTGTCCAAAATAAAACTATACTTAGAAATACGCCAAATTGGCACTTGAACGTCAACAAAATGTTGAAAAAATTATAGCCTCCGGGGAAGGGGAACCGTCCGAACCGCGTGTATACATGTTATATGGTCACGGGTGCGAGGGAAAGCACCTCGGGCGGGAGAGGTGGTCAGTCTGCATTCCACCGAGTTGGTCGGCCCGGTAACCCACTTTTAACGTCGTCTCTTCATCTTCTTCTGTGTATTCCCTCACACATACACACACACACTCACACATATGGCTTACACGACAAAACTTCGGGCAAGGAATTGCAACTGCTCTTAGAACTTTCTTGAGACTAGGAAGCGGCACGAAGCCCGTTCTCGAGGCTCGACCAAACCCTTTTGTTATTTATTAAAATGCGCGGTTTAATAAAAATATTGTTAAAATGTTCTGGCAAGATAAATATATACACCTATACATTTATACGATTTTGTTAATGATCCATTGATATCATTCACAATAACATAACATCATAATCGAGACCACACACGTGGTGCGGTTTGCGGCCGTCTGGTTATTAGTACTCTATTGATTAACAGCAGCAGCAGCAGTTGTAAGTACGGTATATTCACAAACCTCGGCATCGTGTCAAAACCGACTAACAAGATCACACACACCCATATCCGCGTGTTACAGTTTTACCGTCTCTAAATACATCATGTATACATGTGTATGTTAGGTTTTTAACGAAGAAATCGTCAGATTAAATACTATAATATAATATTTGGACACGAAAATATTATCTATCCGAATTTCCTAGTACACTTTGACAGAACACAGTGTTTAGGACATAATTTCTCGATTTTTTTAAAAAATTTTTGATTTGTATATGTTTTTTTACATATACAAATCAAGGCTACTAACACCCTGGTGATATATTAGTATAAGCGCTGGATTTACGTTTAAAAACTATGTGGATATTGAAAGTACTTGAGTGACTAAGTTTTATTCATCACAAACGTAACATGGAATAATTAAATTAAAGTTTAGTATAATCGTTTAGCTTTATAACTTAACAAGTACCTGTTTTGAGATAAATAAATGAGTTTTATTTTTTCCTGAATTAAGCATATTATCACAAATAAGTGTAATTAAAATTACTGCAATGCTCGTAATACCTAGGTACTTATAACTCGAACTCAAACCACAGAACATTGCGCTCCTTATTAATACTTGACACTTTAGTTAAGTGCTATTGAGTATAACTCACGATGGTTAGACAATTTTTTTATAGGTAGTGCAAAACAAAGTACATTTTACCTAAATCTGTTTTACAGTTATTAATATCAACCCGTTGTTATTGTCATCATGTTGAAAGTATACAACTACATATTACCCATTTTTATGAACACACCTGAGTATGTTCATACTCATGGATTCGTATTTAAGTATTTTTCCATATGTATATATTTACCTTCGTATTATATTTAGATGCCACTGAGCCATAAACGTTTTTGAATTAAGCTTTAAAATGTTTTTTTTTTTGCAAAAAATTGTCTACACCGATTGTTGAAATAAATAGGATGTTGCGCTCTCTTGAAATAACAGTATTGCATCTGTTTGGGAATGAGAGGCTTCGGGGAACGTTTGTTGATGGGCATCCCAGATCCCTTGAATATTTGAGAATTCAAGATTATGAAGAACATTATACAGCATGTAAAAATATAAAAGGTAATTTCGATCATTGGTGCAAACAACAACATTATTGTTTTTTTTATGCCGTTTATGACGCTCACACAACCCAAACTATTTCAAGTTATTTAATAAAAACACTATGCATAATTTGTTATAATCGCGTACAAAATATGATTACATATACAATGGACGTGTCGTTATTGAATTATCGTTTGTGTATTAATGTATGGGTATTTAATCAAATCATTCGTCGTTTGTCCACAATTTAAAATACCTATTATTTCAAAAACGTAGCATATCGACTTTTGCTGTTTTATCACTGGTTTAAAAAATTACAAAAACTACTTTCACCAAAAACGTGTCGATGTGAGTTTGTGTGTTGGAATTATAACGAAATACTCTGCGCCGGATAAATTTCTTTTCGACAGGCCCAATCCAAAAAGTGTGTGCGTTTAGGTCGAATGGGTGTACAGGCAACAATACAGGCTCTTGGTCAACACATACATATATAATAATAATATACACTATACAGGTGCACTCTATTTGGTGACATTAGTGACGTTCGGCATAGGGCCGGGCGGCCAAATCATTTAAATGCGCGTATCCGTTTCGCCGGCGTTGTGCACGTGCGACATCGGGTTCTTGACCTTCTTTGCGGGCGACGCTTTATTATTGGGCGTCCCGTAGTACAGCGGATTCACGGCTGGGCTGCAATCGTCCTGGACCATGGGAAACGTGTACTCGAGCTGCACACCGTACTTGGGCAATTTCCCTCGCACGTAACTGCGCACGTTCACCGGCACCGCCTTGTCCCTGGACAGCAGTATGGTGGACAGGTACCGCGGACTGGACGGCTTTTCCGCGCAATGGAGCAACACCGCCCACGTGTCCTTACAGTCCAGCACGTACGTGTTGTAAACGCCTTCGTCTGTGCTCGACAAACAACAACAACAACAACAATGGTTAGAGTAACAATAGTAATAGTAAAAAAGAGGAAAAAAACACAATATGTGTAACAACGTGGGTCCTAAGGTCGACGCGAGTCAGACGAGTGCACTTAAAGACATTGTTCAATATTTAAAATATTATGCGTTATGGTTTACAGTGGGAAACAGCTCTAATCTTATCTCGGTCCGTTTATTTTGTTTCAAAATTAATTACTATAAGTTTCGTTCAAATCAGTGGCATCATTTTGGGAGGGGGGCAGGCAGGGGCATTTGGCCAACCCTTGATTTTTACGGGCTGGTCAAATTTTCGGTACGTAAGGCCGTAAATTATCTGTTTTTTATGCAACTACCTGCCTTTACTAATAATGAACCGTCTGAACTGACTACCAAGTATAATAGGTATGAAGGTTTATAATATTTGTGTTATTACTATTTTGTTTCTAAGTGGTTTGGAAAAAATATTTATATTTGTAAATGACATTGGGCCGATAAAAATTTTGCCCCACCCTAAGAAAAACCGAAATGTCGCCCCTGATTCAAATCCGTTATTCGCTGAATATTACCTCATTTCGCAATGCATTTATCGACTAATTATAGACATTTTTTTTTGGCGGAAAAAAGAAGTGAAGGAAACGTACGAAGGTTTAACTGGTTTAGTCTCCAATTTCAATGTTGCTTATGAAATTTAATTAGTCGTGTTATTTAATTAGTATTTTTATTACTATAGGCCCAAATAAAGCCTTATTAAATGTTACAACTATTAGGCATTAAGCGGCTAACCCGTTCGCAATAGTGTCACATATTGAAAATAAAATTGTTTGTTTTAGATAAAATTAGAGCATATATTTTAACACAATGCTTAAATGCCAATTAAATAGCTTACATGACGATAAAGTAATGTCAATGAATTTGATAATTTCACTTTAAAATTCCGGGCACGAAAAACACAAATATTGTAAAAAGTGTGTCAAGTAGGGTCCAGTTGACGTGATGCAATATTTTAACCATTTTCCTCACTTGGCATTTAACATTTTTTTTAATGAATTGAATTCTACTATGTTTATTTTTATTGGCGATAGACGACCGCGCTCTTCCTAATATGCGATTCCGCGTATTGATCTTCACGCTCTTATTTTTTGTTTTCTTAATTTAATTCTACGTAATAGCGGTGGAAACATATTTTATTTTATAGGTATTCAGTGTAAGTGTGTTATCAAATGAAACGTTGGCGAGGTCTTACACGGGGTCTCCATGTGTATCCAGTGACCGGGTTGACTCATGTCCGGTATGTTCCAAGTGATGTTACCGGACAGCTGCTCGTTGTCCGGGTCATCCACATAGCTGTACGTAAAGTCCATGGATATTTCCGGAACGTCCGGTGACAAGTTAAACGTGGATCTCATGCATCTGTAGATCTGCGCTTCTTCCGAACTGGCATAGTAGTCGATTACGTTCCACGTTCCTTTTATCTATAAGCCATCATGAAATCAAAATGTCATCGATTATTGTTATAATCTAACCGTGTGTAACCGTATTGGTTACTATGATTTATAAAAAAATAATATTATGTTGTGTTATTAGATAGCTGCACAGTGCACTAGTAAAACATGGACCTAGCCCAATCAGTGGCTCGGAGGAGATTGAAAAGTTGCCAGTAGGAAACAAATTCTACAGTGGAAGATCTAAACACGAATTATTTCTTATAAACAGTGGATAGCCATTGTATAGCCTCCGGGTGGGCTACGGAATTATTTTTTGTTGTATTCAATATCTTCTCTATGGGGTCTAAAAGGCCGATTATGTATTTTTGTTTTTTAAATTTACTATAAGCGTTTATTATATTTTTACTTTTTTTATTGGTTTTTTTTTTTAGAAATCTTACTAATTTTCTAATCGTTAAATCAAAAATTGGCCTTGAGTCCCACACAGAAAATAGTAAGCTTCACAGAAAAAAAATTCAGAACTTCTACGAAAGTGATTTTTTACCAAACTTGTATAAACCTAAAAATACTTAATATTTTTCACCTTAAAATTGGTAGGCATGCTTAAAATGGCTACTAGATCAATTTATGACAAATATTGCCTATCCTTTGCCCCTTAATTAATAGCTTAAATAGATAAATTAGATTACTATTTAATTTAAAAAATGTTATTAATGATCCGTTTTGGATTTCGAGAAAAAACAGTTTGTATTCACGTGTAATAATATTTTAAGTACTAATAAATCTATTTAAAATAATACTGTAAATACATTTACTTACCAAGATAAGTGTAAAATATACCAATTAAAACATAAAATATAAAATCACACAATTTGTTGAAATATAAGTGTGACCTAAAAAACATACCTAATTTATAAATATTTATTTTTTATCAAAATTGGGCATTCGTTTTGATAAGTAAAAACTGAGACAACTAGTTAGTAAGACACGGCAGACTGCTCTCGGACTAGCTTAATTAACAATTCTGATTGTACGGTTTGCTCTAAGTCAATATCCTCTATCAACAAAATAGTAGCTATTTTATTAATACTTTTAACTTAGAAATATTTTGCCAGAATGTAAGTACCAGGCTTCAAAATTATCATAGAGATAATTTTGTCCACTTACAAACACAATACGTTATTTTGTGTGGAGATCTTGCCTCGTGTAATTTGGTAGTGTGAAGAGTTGGGGCTCACTACCTTTAGTTTCTTAACTCCTCTCTCGTTCTCTATTGCTGTCTATTTCTCCTGTCTTAATTAATTTTAACTTCATTTCATTTTCAAAGATCATGATAGTATTTTTGACCTTGTTTTTTCTGATTCTAACAAACTACCCAAGTGGATAGATGCCTCTCTTGTGGTCAGCCTACACTCCTATCACCTTATCCTGATCATATTAAGTTGCCTCTTCAAGCTGATCATGACATAGTCAAAACTAACGTTTATTTAGATTTTAAAGTAGAACTACCTACTTTAAAGTAGGTGATTTCGCTGCCATATCCTAATCCTTTAATTTATTCAATTGGGAGCTTTCTCTCAAGATTCTGTTACTGACACTGCTTCTGTATTTTATGATGCCCTTCTTCACTCTATCAATATGTTTATCCCTAAAAATATGTTTAAGCCACTTAAATTTCCCCGCTGGGTTTCCTCTCCTCTTTAAAACTTGATTATCCAGAAAACGTGCACACATTGCTTTTAAACCCTTCGACTATCGTAAAACTATCATGTTTTATCTTAACTCAGAGTTCAATTTAAGAGTTTAGCAAAGTCTGGCTACAAAGCCTTAATTAATGTTACTGAGCGCATACTCTTTCAACCCTTCCTCTTTCTGAAAATTTGCCAAAGAATTAAGCCATCAATCCTCTAATTTTTTTTCTGTAGATCTCAACAACAGAGTGTAGATTCTCCTTTAGATTTAGCAGTTCTGCTAACTAAAAAAATACGCCTTTGTATGTAAAATTCCTTTGTTTTATATAGAATACATATCCTTCTCTTGTTTCTAACTATAGACCTATCTATCCATCTTATCCCCATCTTTCGTCACCTAGCCAAATTATATTTTGAATCTATTGTTTATTCTTGCACCAAGAGGATCCTCAACCACACCATAGTAACTGGCCCACATGCCTTTTTTTTGGGAATCCGCTGTTACCAGCAGCATTGCCTTCACATTCAACATCATTGGCGTAATTATCATGGTATCTCGTGGAATAGAGTATAAATAAAATCGTAACATACTTTACAAAAAGGATTTTTAAGGTTTTAATAAGACTTTGGCAAACAAGTTGTTATTAATTATTGCAACAATCGAAAAAAATGCTAAAGAAGACTAAAAAACAATAATTATATTCAATGTCAAGGTAATACAGTGTGCTACACATTAAATTAAATTATCTGTTTTTATTTTTAATACTAAAAATATTGTTATGTTTAAAGTTTCGACTTTGATCAATTTGTTCAGCTTTTCACATTAAATAACCTGATAAACAACTAATGATGGTAAATTATATTATGATATGTCGCTAGACAAAATGTACACATTAGTTATTAAATAAATAACCATAAGTCGTATTCTCTTTAGGTTCTAAACATACACTATTCAGGTATAACGTGTTTTTTATTTGTTTTTAATCATATTTTGTGATGATCTCTGGCCAGTAGTCTGTAGTTCACGGAACAAGTGGAACCATTAATGTTTAACTACTAATTGGTAATTACAACATATTTTATTGAAATCTGATTTATGTTATTTTGTTATTATATGTAACATACCTAATTCGAATACAATATAAATTAGCTGGATACCAAAAGTAAATAAAAGAGAAATAAATAAAAAGTTTCCACCTCTTCTAGGGGTTTATGATTTTTTTTTTTTGGTTTGTCAACGTTTATCGATAGTACTATATCTTAATAATATTCTATACAATTTAGGACCCAATTCGACTATTTAAAAAAATGTATAAATCATCATTATTTGACTTAAAATACTGTAGCTCATTTAAAAATGTTAGTAACCCGTTATTTAAGAAAACTATTCACAAAAATTATATAAATAATTAATAAGAAAAAGTATAATGTTACAATTGTAGGCTACATTTCTGAAGATTTGGTTCGAGAAGTAAAATGCCCGAAAATCTAAACTCTTGGGGCCAGAACTAATAGAGCTTTTGCTTGGGGACTCAAAGTTCAATTTGAGCTCGCAAGTGGGACAGATGAATACACCTGTGCTATAAAATATAATACATTAAATAAAACTAAACCATTTATCACAAATCAAGCAAAAGTTAATTATTTACTAATGTTTGCCTTGATAATAGACAATCAAAAATAATTTTATTATTTTTTTAATACGACTTAATATTATGTTTTATATAAAAACATTACTTAGTTGGACATTTAACATTTGCCATTGATTACCTATCTATATAAAGTCTATAACGCAAGTCCAACCCATATTCTTAAAAAATATTTTTATTACTGTGCAAATTAACATTATTCAATTTAATTTAACGATCTCAAATGCCGCAATGGTCTTAACATAAAATCTTTGATTAATGATCGCTATAAAAATGTACAGCTATAACAAAAATTGTGGAGAAGGTCGGGGTGTTTTTTATTTACATTAACCCACATATCATTATGGAACCAAAAGAATAACGATTAAGAACAATAACACAACTGTAGTTAGTGACCCTTCGCATTAATTATATCTTATTACAGTTTTTAAAAATTAAGTAGTATTTTAATTAGATTTAAGCTATTTTAGTAATGAGAATATTTTAAAATATCCAATATGTAAAAAAAAAAAATTGTTTTATAATTATAATGTAGAGTTTCCATTTACTGATGTAATAAACTCCCAGGTGCAATCACAAATTTAATACTCACAATAAAAATATCTGGTGGCCCATTTATTTAATTTTCCTGAATAAAAATTGTTTAATTCGCGGTTAATTAGGTAGCCGTCTTTTTAAAATATAACATTATGAATAGGGTACATTTTTATAGTTTTTGGACATTGCTCATTATTTACTAAGACAAATTTTTAATATACCGTTCATAAATATTCGAAAGAAAAAAAAAGTATTAACATTTTTATTAACTGTCAAAACCCCAATGTACTTATTAATTAATTGTAATACTAATATTTAATCTTGTAGGCTGGAGGAATGTTTATAAATAAATGTTCGCTTTTATACTTTCAACTACGATTAGATTTTGTTTTATCTCAAATAATGAAAAGGTTGTATGTATAAATAAATTCGAACATTAAACCATACTAGGTATAGATATAGTCTGAATACATACAGGATCCTTGGTTAAATAATAGAATATTGATCATAGCGGTGGTCTTAAATAAAACGCGAAAGAAGAACGAAAAACGTCGTGGGTAGCACACAAACCCTCGCAAGTTCGCTGTATTATAAAATTAGACTTAAGTTAAAAATACCCACTAAGAAATCTTAAATCCAACCAATATTAATATATAATATAGCCGTACTTATGTCATTGATTAAATATACATTTTGCATGTTATCTGTCAGATTTTAGCTTCTGTCAGAATTTAACCCAATGCCCACCCCCCTAGGGGGGGTACAGGTTTTTTTGTTTTTCGGGGTTTTTAGCCGTAATTTTAAGACCTTTGGGTTGAAAATTTGCCAGTAGTTGGAACTCATATGTATCCATAACATATTAAACGGAAAAATAATTCGGCACTACAGTTTTTTTTTAATAGCCGGAAAACTGTGTTTTCGCAGATTGCGTATATTTTAACAAAAAACACTTAAAATCTTAAAAAAATTGTTATCAAATCATTAAAACAATTTTATGTAGATCTATGCAGAATGATACTATTGAGTTTTGTGCTCAAGTAACACTTTTGACTTTAAGTTGACACAAAGTTCAATTTTTTTTTTTTTTTTTAAGTACAAACGCACTCTACCAGATGTGAGAAACGAAAAAAAAAAGTATAATTTTTTGTTCTATTGGCATCATCGTGTGTACGAACAGCATATTGATGCGCGCTCTTATCTGCTCCGTAATGAATTATGAAATCAGTTATGATAGAAAATATTGTATGTCGTTTCAAATAGTATTTTTAAATCTCTACAAAAACGCTAGTTTTTATTCTGGTTGTAACTTGTATTGCGCTGTATAAAACTTTTATGACGTAGTTGATGTTTATTTTATCAATTTTCATTATTTAATAAAAAACAATTTGTCAACAGAATATAACTAACTGGGTGTGGATTTTATTAAGTCACAGTTGATATAAAATCGATTTGGACTTGAACTTTTTGCGGAATGACTGAATTTAATTTAAGAAACTAATTTAATTTTAATTGGCAGCCATTACGTGAGAAATGATAACATGAGTTGTTTATACTATAGTGTATAGTTGTTGTAATTATCAATTTTCGAGACAAAATAATATTTGATCGTGACCATATAAACGCCCGATCGCGTTATCAACTGTCCACCGTCTTATGTACACGGTACAGGTGGGAACGAAAAACCCCTTATCGGCCCGAGCCGGTCATGGTGTGTGAGAGAGAGGTCGGGGGGTGATGACATTTGTAGGTAGTTGCCAGTCAGTATTCGATAATTCGATTATCAGTTATTGATTTAAAATTGATCCGGAGTGTCAATCCGCTGTCGTTCCGAGTATTATTATTTTTATTTACATATTGTAAAAAATATTTAATTATAAAAAAATATTTTCTTTACATAATTTTCGGTGTTAAATTTCCACCTTCGTATAAAACCACCTGCACACCGTTTGCTTGTGGCTATACACGTTAGTAATATTTAACTAATAAGTAATAAATGTAGGTAAAATTTATTGTTTTCTCCATCACAGTACCAGTATACGATTTATTTTAATTTAAATGTAAGAAAATCGATTTTTCTTTAGAAAATAACAAGAAATTATTATACAGGATGAGGCAGTAAAACGGCGATTTTCTAATGTATTTAATTGGTAAAACCCGTTTCACTATCCCACCCTTTACATTTTAAGGATCTATGAAAAGGTTTTTTTAGTTGCATTTTATTTTGTACATTGTCAATCTAGTAAAATAGAAGTATAATATAGCTTTGAAATAATATAATCTGTGAAGTATAAATAGTTTGTGTGTGATTGCTTTAATGGAAGTATATAATACATAAATATTAATTTTATTGAGAATAAGCGATTATAATTTAAACTATGGAGTACAAACGATTGAAACATGAATCGTCGACCATTCCAACAAAATATAACAAGACATTGTATATGTGTTATTTGGTCCACTAAGTTTTTGCAAAAAAAAAAAAAACAGTACAGTGGGGTCGGGGCATAGTGGGGACGGAGCATAGTTGGGTCGGGGCATATTGGGGACGGGGAGGTCACAGGTTTACAGGAATTTTTAAATCTGAAAGTGATAAAATCACTTTCGAAAAAACGCTTCGATGCAAATCGGTAGTTAGTATTTTCAAGCCAGTACAGTCCAAACCAAGCACAGTATAAACCAGCAAAGTTAGAAAGTTTTAAATGAAGGTTCTGTATTTACAAATGAGCATCAAAGCGTTTATTTGAAAGCGATTTTATTCAATTTTATCACTTTTATGTATAATAATTCTTGTAGACCTGTGACCTCTCCGTTTCCTCATTGCTTTGATTACATTATGCCAATACTCTACTGTACTAGTCCTCTCGGATAAAATCGCTTTCAAATAAACGCTTTGATGCTCATTTGTAAATACAGAACCTTCATTTAAAACTTTCTAACTTTGCTGGTTTATACTGTGCTTGGTTTGGACTGTACTGGCTTGAAAATACTAACTACCGATTTGCATCGAAGCGTTTTTTCGAAAGTGATTTTATCACTTTCAGATTTAAAAATTCCTGTAAACCTGTGACCTCCCCGTCCCCAATATGCCCCGACCCAACTATGCTCCGTCCCCACTATGCCCCGACCCCACTGTACTGTTTTTTTTTCTATTGTACACTTTTTCCCAATGGCCAGTTACTTATCAAATATTTTTAACTTAACTTTAAACCAGCAACTTTATTCTAGCTATCGTTATTTGGATAGAGGACCCCCAGTTGATCCATTGACCATTAGGACACAGAAAACAAGCTTAAAAAATGTCCTGTTATCTGATATGTCTTTTCTTATTAGATTAATTGGAAAATATTTCTATCAAGAAGAAATTGCTTCAATATAATGTCTAGGAGTCAGTTTGGCTAGTTTATTCATATTTTATTTCAATACAACAGAACCCGTTTTTTTAAAAATATATTTTTGAATGGTTTTCCTAGCAGGTATTTGGAGAGGTTGTTTGGTGATAATGACTTTCGTGTATGAGGGCGGATGAACTGCCTCTTAATCATGGACCCCCCCTTGTCTAACCACTTTTCATTTTCTAGGAATACCTGTTCAGAATGTTTTCTCACAACCGTGTTTGTAGTATATCCTCAAGGCTCTCAAAACATCATCTGTGACAATTGATTCAGAATGTTATTATCTTTGAATAAATTTGCATTAATAACATTTTAAGGTACCTAACCTTGACCAGCCTATACTGCGTGTATGTAATTTGTTATATTAGGGGTTTGGCTCGGAGTGGTGAATGTCGCAATACCGATCCACCGAAATTTAATATGGATGTACATATAATAATATTAAATTCCGTTCTCGAATTGAAGAATAGAATACCTGGAACTAGCCTATCTTTAGTCTGTTTCATCTGTCTGTTTTAACTCTTAGCTTTGGCTTGGGAATTAATCGTTGCTAAATTTTAATCTATTTTTAACCCCCTTTCCTCCTATAAATACTAGCCATGTATTTGTGTCAGTTGGACGGTGAAAACACGCATGCTTACGGCGTCCAAGTCGCAATTACTTCTAGCTCGGACTTCCGGACACTTTTCGTCGTTCTTTGCCAGCCTGGCGACCGATGGCAGCAAGCGACCACAACCGACGGCCAAGTAAACGGCAACGACAACCGAATAGTACACGGTCATTACTATATTATTATTATGTGTGTTTTTGTTGTATAATTTTTCTGGTGCTAAAACAAACGACACTCGATTAAAATTTAATATCTCTATACCAAAACTGGTCCGGCCACAGACAAGTGCACTAACACTGAACGTGTCGCCGAACGTTTGACTGTGGCCCTCTCGGTTTTATCAGTCCATATCCGGTATAGAAATGCGCACACGGGACAACAGAACAATAATCAAATATAATCTGGAAGCTGATAAAAAATAATAAAAAATACACATTAATTATTATATATTTTTATAATACGCATACGACACACAAAGCATCAAATTTATCACCGCATCCTCTTCATATTTAAATTTGACATTTTTAAAAAACCGATCAACTATTTTTTTTCCTTAATAACACCGATAATGTGCCATAATAATAATTATCAACAGTTTCCAGAGTTATAATAACGCGGGTTGACCCACTTTTTCCTCCTCTCTTGACCGTCGTACCATCGCGGTGCAGCGCATACGAGAACTGGAAACAAACAGGATGAAATTAATGGTATTTGTCTATGAATATCGGTATGTGTGTGTGTGTTATTTTTCGGGAGGCCTCTTTGAAAGAAAAAAACTGGTTCCACTTGCATTGACCATTAATTGGAATACTCGTTTAAAACACTCGCACACGAATAATGTCGGCTCAAACAAACATACACACACACCCCACTCGGTCGTATAATGTTTTGTCTTTTTTCTAATCAGCTACAATGTACCCGTGTGTACTTAAAAACAATAAAACATTAGATGGGTCCTGAGATTTAACCACGCAGAAGAGGATGAGCTAGATATGGAAGAGCAAATCCGCTAATTCTAATACTTAGGGCCTTTTGTAAAATTTAAAGAAATCGAAATTTCGCTAAAAGTAACTAATTGTAAGTACGAACATTTACTTATTGTGATTATAATTATTAGGGAAAATATTTGTCTATCGGTGAAAACGTCTGGTACCACCACAGCCGCTGTAAACACTCATCTCAATAGATTACATATGTGATAAAAAGCCAATATGTCCCCTTCGGAGTAATGCATATAAAAGGAAAATACTTCAAGTGTAATAACTTAGTAATTTGTTTAGCTAAAGAGATGTTCCAGCTCTTGTATTGTTCAAACATCAATCAAGATTCAGAAAATAGCATTACCTCAATTATTGAAATGCCGAAAAGAGGCCCCCCCCTTTCGCTTAATTAAATTTATCTCAATATTTACAGACTCTAGTCCACAGACTTACAGGTGTGTACTACGTCTCACGGTTTTTAACGGGTAATAAAAACCCACGGGTTAAAATCCGGGTAGGTTTAATACCCTTGTATTAGTTTGTTAGTTGTGACTATCCATAAGTTGTTTAATATTGTTACAAATTTGCAATGGTTTTTGGAAAGAGTTTTAATACAGAAGCAAATAACTAAACCTCCGAAAATAACAACAATGTTTTTCTTTTTTAACCTAAGGTATTTAATTGTTAATTTAATTTGAAAACATTTATATTTCGTGTTCAAACTGATGTGGTGAAAATTATAAATATTTTAAATTTGTTATAAATTAAGCGTTTTCTAACCAAATATATAATTTATATGATATGTTAAAAAAATGCATTTGTTTATTTATTTAATGGTACACGACGGGCAAAGTCTCAAAACGCAATTGATGGTTAATTTGGAAAATTAGAAGTCGATTAAATACATTTACTGACAGTTATATCATCATAAAAATGCATGATGTTTTACAATAAATTTGTAATAACGTTTCATACTTGAATTAATAATTTCTGATCAAAAAATGTTTTTAAAATTATTTTTACTAACATTTTTGTTTCATACAATGTGGTTTATATTATTTAAGCTGGTAAAAAAAATGCTGTGCTGGGTTAATTTATTTAGTTGGGCCATAGTTAAAATTTGAGAAACAATGTTACTTCTTTGTATCAAAAAAAATGTTATAATTAACATATGATAGTTTTTAACGTTCTTAAGTATTATTATATTTTTTTTTATGTTCTGTGAAGAAACTTTAAATGTAGTAACGAAAAATTGTAACCCTTCAATATCAACCACTATATTTTATCTGTGCTACATTATGTAATTAAGTGTTAAATAGGTGTGAATATTTTCGTTACAAATTCTCTCTGTGAGAATGACATGTTTGTCAAATGAAATCTGTCGTCTCAACATTGGTCAGATCTTATCGTTTCAGTCCGTCGGACAAGTGTCCAAAACCAGAAAATCTTCGTTTAACGTATGCTGGGACACAAGCGTTTGTCGACGGGTGTTACGTTAAAATAGAAGAGAGAATGTGATCAATTATTGAATTAGTATTTTAAACCAAAATTATTTACATATTTGGTTAAGGTTGTTCGCGTAATTATGTTGATTTAGTTAACCGAGGTAATACTTATATCTAATAACACATATCGTTCCCGTTCACGTAAAACACATGAAGTCCAAAAATGGGTGTTTTGAGAATGAGCTTTATAAAATTGTACAAACTTTGAGATATTACATAACGGACTTAATTATAATTTAAAATCACTCTTTAAAACGATTTTTAACATAATTGGATTTGAGGGAGTATAGCACATGGTATACAATTGCATTGTACATTTTATTTCATAAATATTTCAAAAAACCCATACTTGGACTTAGTGTTTTGCGCTATTTTTCATTAGGCTTAGTTATTATTTTGGCTTACCAATTTGTTGGTGTTGTCATTTCTTTTTAAATATATCTTCTATAAACTGTTTAAGCTGTTTATACAGGGTGTTCCACAATGATTCGACAAATGAAATAACTTTTGATCTAGTGAATATTTTTAAGGTTTTTTTAAATTTAATTTATTTATACTAATTCGCGCTATAAGTACCATGTTTCTTGTTGCACTTGCTTGTTTTAAGTTTATATAGATATGTTTTTTTTCAAAATATCCTATTTATTTAGAATAGGTTTTAAAAAAGAATTGGTGAAAAAAATTATATTTTTATTCTTACATTAAAAAGTTATACTCACTTAAAATTTATCAAAATTTGAAAATTTCTCTCCGCGTTTATTGTGTCGGCCATTTAAACATGTTATTAAATTACAATTATTCATCTTTATATTTTACCAATGTTTTTTTTTTACTGATGACACATATACCTACAATCATGGCTATAGATAAACAGGTTATGTATTTTTTTGTCCTAAAACGACGGTGTAGTCATAATACTGCTGTTACGCATAGTTTCTTTATTATATTGGTTAAGAAAATACATAAACTTCCAGAATCGAACAGTTTCCAGATTTCGGAGGCTTTAACACTGAATACAAGCATACAGTATATATGGAAAAACGATGGCCCAGTTGGACGTATCATTCCAAAACATTTCTGAAAACTAGTATAATATAGGTATATAAGATACATGCACTTTCAGTGGCCTACTTTGAACAACACTTTGGAGGGTGTCTAATTTTTTTGTATTTTTGTAAACTCTTTTTCACTCTCAATCTAAGCCCCTGTTCTTCAATGCCGACCACTTAAAACTTACTTGTAAATATTTATATTATTTATAATATTTTAATTTTTCATCAACCATCCGTCCGAAGATAAGGGGAATGAAGCTGGCAATTGAGAGACCACATAAGAAATATGAAAGTATGATATTTGTAAGATATAATCTAAAGATCGTCTCAACAAGTCATACAGAAATCAACGACCTAGAAATTCTCACAGTAGAAGTTACAAATGGTACGGTCACATCCATATATCAACCGCCTAATATCCCATTTAAACTTACAAAGCCAATCAATTTCTAAAATCAAAGAACAAAAATTGTAAATGGCGATTTCAACAGTCACAACAGCATCTGGGGCTACAATTAAATGAACGTAGATGGGGAAAAAGTAGAGAAATGGGCAGAGGAAAGCGATCGAACTTTAGTACACGATACAAAGCTCCCATCGTCGTTCAACAGCGGTAGATGGATAAGATGGTATAACCCGGACATAATTATTGCGAGTAGCAATATCAAACAACGATGCAAAAAGAAAGTCGTAACACCAATACCAAATTCCCAGCACAGACCAATAACATGTCAAATAAATGCTATTATACACCCAGAAAACGTACCGATAATAAGACGCTATAATTTCAAAAAAGTCGACTGGGAAAGTTTTAAGACACAGCTGGATGCTGAAATCAACAAAATCATCCCAACGCCTGAAAATTACGGCCAATTCACAAACCTAGTAAAACTATTCCAAAACAAAATATGTATAAGGTAATACGTTTTTCAAGAATAAGTATTTGATATCAAGAAACTTATTCATAAGTCGCATACACTAGTATTTGTGTAAGAATAATAGTTCTATTGATAAATTTTATACGGTTAAATAGAATTTATATTATGTCCATAAACTATTATTTTTGTTAAATTTAATCTAGTTCTATAAAGATTATATACTCATAACATTTTTGAAAAAATTAGGTCATCTTTATGAAAGTATCAAATGTATACATTTGTGTATGAATAATCAATATGTACTAATATATGGTTTAAAATAATGACTCTATTCCAAGAATAGACGAAGTTGAAGATGGATTTTGAAAGCCATTTATCTTTATTCTTAAATATTTTCAAGTGAATTGATGAAATCACAGTAGCAATAATGACAACAAGTGTAATATGAATTTTATAGGACGCTACACTTTGTTAGAGAATATGTTATATGCATATTGTATATTATGCAGTAATGCAAAATAAAGCATGATGGATTTTTGATAGTGTAATAATTGTAATATTGTGCTCTTTAATAATTTCTAAACAACAAAGTTAATTTTTTTACTATTTAACTTTGATTGTTGTCTGTTATCATGTGGTGTAAATAAAAAACACGGAGTGTAGGGTTAACTTAATTATTTGGGTTGTAAAAATTTAGTCATAAACATTTATATATCGTACTTCAGTTATAACAAACCTATAATTTCTATGGTAGTTCGAGATTTTAAAAAATAATTATATACATATGAAAAAAATATTTTTAAAACAATACCGCATTTTATAAAAATTAATTATTTCACCAACGTTCCCGTGACCCATGCAGATTTTTTTGTAGAAGTATAGCATAATATATTTTTTAATATTCTGCAGAATAAATTATTGCTTTTATCATCATTTTCTAGGGAATAAAAAAATAATTGTTCTCGGGTCAATTTTAAGAATTGAAAAAGCGTTAAATTGGTGTTTTATTTTGCCCGATTTCAAGTGCATAGTTGTGACTATTTTTTAATTTTAACTTGCTAATATTTTTATGATATATAGAGGGACCAAACGAGTAAATCGGTTAAGGAATTTTTCATTTTTAAATAATACCTTTTCAGATTGGCCTCGAAGTTAAATATATACTGAAGAATTAACTTTAAAATAAAAGACAAATGTATAGTTTTACATTTTCTATTATATATTTTTCAAATGAACTTTCAGTTGGTTTATGAAGATCTTACTGGATGTAAACTTAACCAAAATTAGCGTAAAATGTAAATAATATTAAATCTTTCTAAATTCTAAGCCGTCTTAGACCCGGCCGGTGGAAATAACGAACGTTAGACCTAAAAGAAATGAGACACCCTGAATTTGTTTTCACGTTTTAATAAATGAGTAATCATTAAAAAAAAAAACATTTTCAACTTTATTCCTTTATTCGTATTCCTATTCATGCTGTGTACTGACATTTTGTATTGTCCATAGAAAGGTATAATATTTACTGATTTTACCACTTCAAAATTATTAGACCTTTAAAGTTTAAATTAGTTAAAACTTTTACTAATAACTATTATAGAACTAATTTCATACTGTTCAGATTAGTAAAATCAGGAAAAATTAATCTTTCAATGGACGATTAAAAATGTCAGTACAGTTTAATTCAGGACAATAAGCTAAAAAGGCATCAGGCATGCTTATATTATTTATCATTATCACTATTTAACATTACTGTTTACTATAGGGCATGCAAAGTACACACACTTGCGAAAATAAGAACAATGCTATAATAATAATATTCATTAACATAATAGAATATTAATTTTGTCAGTCAAGAATAAAACCAAACAACCTTGTACATTGTTTCTTTGTCGACAAAACTTCTAAAAAGCTGAAGGTCATTGAAGAAATATTTTAGTATTATACCTTTCTTAGGCTAGAGTATTGTTACATACAACAAGTTCACATACATTAAGCTATGTGAAACATTTTAGTTACGATATTCATTTAATTAATGCGTAAATATAATACTATAATAGTGATACTGTAGATATTGAAATTTTATATAATGACCTTATTGAATATGCAATAGTAGATTATACTTATTATATATTATAACACATCAACAGAATTCATATTTTTATTCAAATGCAAGTTTCACATTGATTATGTATGTGAACGTAAATTGTAATAACGTTTATTTAAAATCAAATTTTATTTATTCGTTTTGAATGTTCGTAAGCATGAGAGTATAAATGTTAAGAATAATTAAAAAATCAATTACTCGTTGTGTATAACTGCTCAGATAATCATCGTCTTATAGAAAATGAAATTTAATGAAATGGTTTCGTCTCATCAGGTAAAAAAATCATTAACTCAACATTTCAATTATTATTATGGCTAGGGGTTCAAGTAATAATAAACCCATTTAAATTTAAAAAAAAAACCTTTTCAATGGTCAAATGATAACACTATACTATCTTCTATTCAGATCCCTCTAAATTGTCTTTTATCTAAAATTGTAAAGTTTGTACTAATATTTTAGCTCCAACATAAAATTGTTTAGCATAGCACTAAGTTACATTTAACAAAAAGAATACCATGATGTAAAAAAATATTAATTAATGGACACAATATTTTCAGGTGTCGGACATAATAAATGATACAAGCCTTAATAACATTATCGTTATACTTACAGCGGTAATATTATATTTAGTAGTTGTGTATTATAAAATAGTAAGCCGAAGAAAGATATCTTTAGCAAAACGAATACCAGGTCCAGATGGTTTCTTTTTTGTGGGAATGCTACCTGTTTTACTTGGAGGACCTGAAAAACTATTGAAGAATATATTAAAAGTTGGCAGAAAGTAACTATGCTGTGTTCATGTCTAACTATTACATATTATTACTCTTTTGGTATTCTCAATTTCTAGTAATTTCAGAGCAACAGTAATTAGTTTTGTTGTCTTTGTGGTATAGATACCAGAATACTTTATGCAAAGCTTGGATTTTGGATCAATTATACGTATTTCCTGGAAACCCCGAAGAAATAGAAGCGATTCTTACCAATCCTAATATGTTCAACAAAGCTAAACTTTATAATGTTGCTAGCGAATCAATTATGGGCGATGGATTATTTACAAACAGGGTGTTTGACGAATGGAAAAATAACAGGTGAGCTTTTTTAGTGTGATCTCCTGTGATTAATAATTTAAACCATAAACTGTTATTCGTAAACTAGAGATTAAATATAATCCTTAATCCAAAAATTTAGGATTATGGAAATTATTTTGATCCAATTTTATTATTAATCGTGAATTACGTGTAACCTGTAATCCCTTTGTAATCGATTACGGATTGTAATCAATTTTGACCATCTCTGGCGTCAATATGTATAACACATTCAAAAATATAGTGGAAACGTATTAATACTTGACTTTTAAATGCTAAAAAATCAGTTTCTAGTTTCTATCGCCAATTATTATAATGTCACCTTTTCGAAATTACCGATTATCAAATATCAGTTTCAATTTGTTTCCATAATTATAGAAAATTGGTAGCCGCGGGGTTTAAATTTTCGATGCTAAAATCGTTCATACCGATATTTTACGAGGAAGCCAAATTCCTGAGCCAAGTATTGTACGAGAAACGGGATATCAATACAAATGAATGCGAAATAAGCTGTGCAATCGGGATGGCGACAATGGAGATAATCGGAAGAACCGCTTTGGGTGTAAAATTTAATACACAGAAAAACGCCAAACACGTATTTTTGGAGAACTTACATTTCATCCAAAAGGTTTGTTCGCATTTTTTAATAAACAAAAATTATTTTATTTTGGCAGTTTATGGAGACCCTAGAATGGGGTCCATTAATCCGGGCCTGCAGTGTAAAAGAGTTTTCAATATCACTAGCCATACTTTATATAGTTAAAAGTACTTGACTGATGTTTTTTTTTGTGCTGGCATGTCATCTGTTTGTAATAAAAATTTGTTTTTGTAGGCTATGGAATACCGAGTTACACACCCATGGTTTCTGAACAGGAGTCTGTTTCAGTTGTCGACGTATAAACGTAAACATGACATTAGCCAAAATAAAATTTACAATTTCATCGATGATTTAGTCCAGAGAAAAAAAACAGAATTGAGAAATAGGATAAACAGTCAAGGAGAACATAACGAAGAGTGTATGGGCCTTAAATGTAAATCTTTTATTGAAATACTGCTCGAGAATGAACATCAGATGTCATTTCAGCAATTACGGGATGAAATAATAACTACTATAATTGGTACATTTTTTTTTTTTAAACATTATATTAAGAAAGAATTGTTGGCATGTGTATTATAGTTGACCTTAAAAAATGTTAAGACACAGTTGGTACGTTATATGCTAATAAAGTGGTTAAAGTGATACTTTTTAATTATCATAAAATCTATGATTACTCAAATTGATCGAATGGTCTAGACAAAATATTATAATAACCGGTCAAAACAATTTCATAATTATTTAATGTGTCATTATTTAAATTAAAAAAATGATCTTATTTTTTGAATTACTATAATATATATATATTTTTTTTACATTTAATAGCGGTATATAAAACAAGTATACTTTATTTTGATAAATAATATCAACTATATATTTGTGTTGTTATTCGTGAATATCAAAACAGGCTGTAAAATTGATAACATTCTCTAACAAATACACAACTAGTACCTATGATGTATCAAAGCGTTCTAGCGCCTTTCTCTTGATTAAACAGTTCCAAATAACAAGCGTAAAATGAGAGCTGTATTTTCATTAATTCTATCTTTTAATATTTGATTTTAGGAGGTCAAGATACTACAGCTATGGCGATAGCGTGTTCAATATTTATGTTGGCTCATCATCAGGATATACAAAATAAAGTATGCTATAATACATATTCGGTATTATGAACTTTAAAGTTAAATACCCATTATAGGTATTCTTGGTGACGAAAATATAATAAATTTTAATTATCGCTCAATAATAGGTATTGGAAGAGTTATTGACATTATTTTCTACTGGCGATCCGGATCGACAACCTACCTACGAGGATTTACAAAAGATGGACTACTTGGAACGTGTAATCAAAGAAACTCTAAGACATTTTCCCTCTTTTCCCTTGTTTGGCAGAAACGTTGAAAAAGAAACTGTTATCGGAGGCTACTTAATCCCTGCAGGTACGGCCGTAGACAAATTCGTTTGATAAATTGCCACATTTGGTGCTTAAATTTACTAATACAATTTATTTTTAAAAATATCTACAGGGTCAACGTTCATAATTTGCACTCAGCTTTTACACTTAAATGCAAATTTTTACCCGGAACCAGAAAAGTTTAATCCAGACAACTTCTTGCCCGAAGCATGTCGCAGTCGCCATCCGTATTCCTTCCTTCCTTTTAGCGGTGGTTACAGGAACTGCATTGGTATGAAATATGCAATGCTCCAAATAAAAGCTGTCGTCTCAACATTGGTCAGATCTTATCGTTTCAGTCCGTCGGACAAGTGTCCAAAACCAGAAAATCTTCGTTTAACGTATGCTGGGACACAAGCGTTTGTCGACGGGTGTTACGTTAAAATAGAAGAGAGAACGTAATCAATTATTGCAGCAGGGTTTTGAACACAAATTATTTACATATTTGGGTATCGTTATTTGATTAGTTATGTAATCTTATGGGTTAAGGTTTCGTTATTTTTATAGGTTTTAGGTATATCGGAGTTAGTTAACTAAAATAATAACGTTAAAATAAAAGAGAGAGAATGTGATCAATTATTGAATTAGGATTTTAAACCAGAATTATTTACATATTTGGTTAAGGTTGTTCGCGTAATTATGTTGATTTAGTTAACCGAGGTAATACTTATATCTAATAACACATGTCGTTCCCGTTCACGCAAAACACATGTAGTCCAAAATGGGTGTTTTGAAAATGAGCTTTTTAAAATTGTACAAACTTTGAGATATTACATAACGGACTTAATTATAATTAAAAATCACTCTTTAAAACGATTTTTAACATAATTGGATTTGAGGGAGTATAGCATATGGTATACACAATTGCATTGTACGTTTTATTTCATAAATATCTCAAAAAACCCATACTTGGACTTTTGGTGTTTTGCGCTATTTTTCATTAGGCTTAGTTATTATTTTGGCTTACCAATTTGTTGGTGTATTCAATTCTTTCAAAATATATCTTCTATAAACTGTTTAAGCGTCTATACAAGGTGTTCAACAATGATTCGACAAATGAGATAACTTTGGTTCTAGTGAATATTTTTAAAGTTTTTTTTTTTAAATTTATTTATATTCATTCGCGCTATAAGTACCATGTTTCTTGTTGCACTTACTTGTTTTAATTTTATATGTATATTTTTTTTTTTTTTAAATAGCCTATTTTTTTAGAATAGTTTTTAAAAAAGAATTGGCGAAAAAATTTGTATTTTTATTCTTACATTAAAAAGTTATAGTCATTTGAAATTGATGAAAATTTGAAAATTTTTTTCCGCGTTTGTGTCGGCCATTTAAACATGTTATTAAATTACAATTATTCATCTTTATATTTTACCAATGTTTTTTTTTTACTGACTACACGTATACCTAGCATCATGGTTATAGACAAACAGGTTATGTATTTTTTTGTCCTAAAACGGCGGTGTAGTCATAATACTGCTGTTACGCATATTTTTTAATATGGTATAACCCGGACATAATTATTGCGAGTAGCAATATCAAACAACGGTGCAAAAAGAAAGTCGAAACACCAATACCAAATTCCCAGCACAGACCAATAACATGTCAAATAAATGCTATTATACACCCAGAAAACGTACCGATGATAAGACGCTATAATTTCAAAAAAGTCGACCGGGAAAGTTTTAAGACACAGATGGATACCGAAATCAACAAAATCATCCCAACGCCTGAAAATTACGGCCATTTCACAAACCTAGTAAAACTATTTCAAAACAAAATATACCAAGAGGTTGCAGAACGCAGTATATTCTGGGGACGGGGAAAGAAAACAAGGAACTACTAGAAGATTACATTAGACAATTTAACAATGATCCTTTTGCCGAAGAAACAATCACCACCGGAGAATCCTTAAAAACTATCGGAAGCAAAACGAACAATGAGAGTAATCTGGGAAGGTGTTGAGATTAAAAATACTGAATACCCAAAATACCTTGGCGTCACACTAGACCGAATTTTATCATTCAAACATCACTGCGAAAACATCACTTAAGACAAAAATCACTCGCAAAAAACAACCAAAACTTAAATCCAGGAAAAGCTTTCTTACTACAATCCAACAAATGAAGAACTTACCAGAAAAATAAAGAATCATCAGATGGAAAGATAGAGAGCTTGAGATTGCTGCTGCTGATGTTCTTTTTTAAAATAATTTAAAATTATTATGACAATTTAATATAATGAATGGTAAAGGACTATTTAATTAATAAATATCTACAATAATTAACCATTTAAACACTTATGTATCAGATGGCATTTGACATTCCTTTTTTTTTAAGTACTCAGAGAAATACATGAGCGATAGTCAAATGGAATAATTAAAAGCTATATAACTAAAACATTTTTGAGCTTTCCAAGTACGGCATAAATTAATGTTGCACTAATTTTTCCTCGCAGGGTAACGATATTGAGTCTTATTAATTAACTGAAATTTTTATGTACAAGGTAATACGTTTTCAAAGAATAAGTATTTGATATCAAGAAACTTATTCATAAGTCGCATACACTAGTATTTGTGTAAGAATAATAGTATAATTGAATAAATGTATATAGACATTGCTGAAAATTATGTAGATGTAAATTTTACATACCAAAACATTTTTGAGCTTTTGTGGCATTTACATATAGGTTTTACGAAAACAATAAAAGATTAGGTAATGTTCAATTTTACCAGTATTAAATTATACATTAATAAATAAGTCATTTTCTGCTTCGAAATAGTTGGTTGAATTGATATTTAGTTAAAATAACAACCTCAAATCTTGTTTCTTTTATTATATTCTATTATATGCTGTACTGACATCTTTAAAATATATCCATAGAAAGACATACTTTTTATTGATTTTTCCACTTTCAAAGTTATTTTACCTCTAAAGTTTAAATAGTATTAACCGTAACTTCATTTTACTTAACTAGTACTAAACTAATTTCATACTATAACTTTAAAAGCAAAGTTATTTTTTATGCTTTTATGGTAAAAAAATATATATCTTTAAATTCAAAATAGATGAAAATATAAAATTGTTTTGTCCACAATAAAACTATACTTAGAAATACGCCAAATTGGCACTTGAACGTCAACAAAATGTTGAAAAAATTATATTTTGAGTATACACTTTTTTTCTTGAAAGTTAACGAAAATAAATAATACAATATATTTAAAAATGAGCTTGGACAGTTTTAAAGAGCAGACAGAGGTACACCGATATGTTTGTTTTATTCCACGAAAACTACACAATACACACTACACAACCAAAACAAATTTTAACGATAGGGTTATGCATAGCAGAATTACCATTTCAACAAAGGAACCACGGTTTTTTATCTACTAATTTACTTATACAAATATAGATAAAGTCATCTAACACGTAACATCACATGCCTTATAATTTATAATAATTATTATTATTAGTCGTACAAAAGTACCATGATATTTTTATTATTTCAAAGAGTACTACTTTCTATTCACTTATACTACTCTACTTATACTAAATAAATATGTTGATATAAAGAATTTATCAAATGAACGGATAAATTATGTCTAAAAACGAAGGAAAAGATTTATACAGACAGCTTAAACAGTTTGTAGAAAATATATTGAGACGCGATAACACCAACAATTTGTCATTAGTTATTAGTTATGGATATTATTTTTGTTAACCAACACCGATGTATCTAAAATCCAAAAAATATGATAACACAATTATCCAGATGAAACCCTTATTTGAATAATAAGTAATCATATTGGTTCAAAACCATTCTACAATAATTGATTATGTTCTCGCTTCTATTTTAACGTAACACCCGTCGACAAACTGCTGTGTCATCGCATACTTTAAACGAAGATTTTCAGGATTGGGACACTTATCCGACGGGTAAAAACGATAAGATCTGACCAATGTTGAGACGACAGCTTTTATTTGGAGCATTGCATATTTCATACCAATGCAGTTCCTGTAACCACCGCTAAAAGGAAGGAACGAATACGGATGGCGACTGCGACATGCTTCGGGCAAGAAGTTGTCTGGATTAAACTTTTCTGGTTCCGGGTATAAATTTGAATTTAAGTGTAAAAGCTGAGTGCAAATTATGAACGTTGACCCTATAGATATTTTTAAAACTAAAATTGTATTAGTAAATTTAAGCACCAAATGTGGCAACCTATCAAACAAATTTGTCTACGGCCGTACCTGCAGGGATTAAGTAGCCTCCGATAACAGTTTCCTTTTCGACTTTTCTGCCAAACAAGGAAGTAACGGTATAGAGTCTCAGAGTTTCTTTGATTACACGTTCCAAGTAATCCATCTTTTGTAAATCCTCATAGATAGGTTGTCGATCTGGGTCGCCAGAAGAAAATATTGCCAATAATTCTTCCAACACCTATTTATAAGCAGAAATAAAAAAATATATAATTACCATGAATATATAAAATGTTTTATTTTTCATAATTAATAAAACTAAATACGAATTATATTTTACTTTATTTTGTATATCCTGATGGTGAGCCAACATAAATATTGCACATGCATTCGTTGTAGCTGTCGTGTCATGACCCGCTAAAACCAAATTTAAAAAAATAGTCATAATGCTTTAATATGTACACATTGTTTATTTTTTAGGGAATTGAACAAAAGTCAAGTATAAACACTGTACATTATTTTTTAGAATGTGGTTACATATTGACGCTATATTATTTGTACCATTTATTATGCGTGACACCTGAAAATATTATGTCCATCAATTCTTATTTTTGTTAAATATAATCTAGTTCTATAAAGATTATATACTCATAACATTGTTGAAAAAAATAAGTCATCTTTATGAAAGTATCAAATGTATACATTTGTATATAAATAATCAATATGTACTAATATATAGTTTAAAATATTGACTCTATTCCAAGAATAGACGAAGTTGAAGATGGATTTTGAAAGCCAGGCAAAGTGACTAATTCATCAACTACATTATTAATATTACCAATTGTTCATTAAAATATTTGGAAGTTATAACCTATTACGGTCATAATACATTTTGACAAAAAAAAGGCCTAGTATATTTGACAAAATTTTAAGATTTTATCTACATTAATTAGCCTAATCTTATTCCCCTAGCCTCTCCAAAGTTATGCCTATGTGTTATACTACTAAAAAAGTATTTTTTTGATTATTAAATCATTTTTACGTATTATGTATACATTTTAAATTTCCCATTTCCCAATCGACCACTTCAAATTTTTAATTCATTAATCCCAAGTAGAAAAGTTCATAAAATACGTAGCTTTACTATTCTTTAGAACAAAAATAAAATTATCCGATTATCAGCCCATTTATTGTCAATAAAATTATTTATTTATTGATTTAATTGATTACAGTTATGATGAATTTCCAAAGATACGAGACCTCCTTGTATATAATATTATTTAGTATTAAAAATTTGGTAAGTATTTTTTTACCAAAAAACAGGCCTAAATCCAAAAGAGTAAAACACTTGTGTGGTTTTGATAAAAATGTCTTATGGTTATCGAAATATGTTGTATAAAAAAATGTGATATTTATGTTAATATAAAAGTGAAAATGATTTAATGATGAAAGTTAATTTAAAAGTGATTTTATCCGCGAGGACTAGTACAGTAGAGTATTGGCGTAATGTAATCAAAGCAATGAGGAAACGAAGAGGTCACAGGTCTACAAGAATTTGTATAAATAAAAGTGATAAAATTGAATATAATCGCTTTCAAATAAACGCTTTGATGCTCATTTGTAAATACAGAACCTTCATTTAAAACTTTCTAACTTTGCTGGTTTATACTGTGCTTGGTTTGGACTGTACTGGCTTGAATATACTAACTACCGATTTGCATCGAAGCATTTTTTTGAAAGTGATTTTATCACTTTCAGATTTAAAAATTCCTGTAAACCTGTGACTTCCCCGTCACCACTATGCCCCAACCCAACTATGTTCCGTCCCCACTATGCCCCGACCCCACTGTACTGGTTTTTTTTTTTTTTGCAAAAACGTAGTGGACCAAATAACACATATACAATGTCTTGTTATATTTTTTTGGAATGGTCGACGATTCATGTTTCAATCGTTTGTACTCCATAGTTTCAATTATAATCGCTTATTCTCAATAAAATTAATATTTATGTATTTTATACTTCCATTAGAGCAGTCTCACACAAATTATTTATACTTCATAGATTATATTATTTCAAAGCTTAATTATACTTCTATTTTACTAGATAGACAATGTACAAAATAAAATGCAACTAAAAAAACCTTTTCATAGATCCTTAATATGTAAAGGGTGGGGTAGTGAAACGGGTATTTCCATTTATACATTAGAAAATAGCCGTTTTACTGCCCCACCCTGTATACAAATTTCTTGTTATTTTCTAAAGAAAAATTGAGTTTAAATTAAAATTAAATCGTATACTGGTACTGTGATGGAGAAAACAATAAATTTTACCTACATTTATTACTTATTAGTTAAATATTACTAACGTTTATAGCCACTAGCGGTCGGCTGTTGCCTGTTACTTAACAATAACCTTTTATGGAGATTTTAAAAAATTCTGTTTTTTTAATAATAGTATAGGAGCAGTATTAAAATGTTAAATGTTCACGAGATTTGGTCTAGTCATAAAATAAAGTATTATCATTCGTGACTTAATTTTTATTAAAATATATCTCAATTTGAACATAGTAATAAAATAATGAAATATTTTATACAAAATTAAAGCTACAAGTTGATAAACTAAAAAATTAAAATTAGCACGAAGCAGATTATCTAATATTAGACAATTTAAACAATCAAGCCTGAATCTCTTTATATGAATAACAGCATAACAATATACAAAACATTAGTTTTCCTTTAAAAAAATTGTGTAATAAAAAATACATTTTGAGGCGGTATACTGCATAAAAACCAACACTTAATCTGAATCCAAAAAACAACAGTCCTCTTTATTATTTGCAGGTAGTTGGACCTTATATACTCATAGTTGACCTTCGGTAAGGTTATATAATGCAGGCTATAAAATAACGAGATAACGACAGTGGTTTTGTCGTATCAGAACCATTAATTGTCTTATTAAGTACACGGATAGGTTTTTTTCCCAATAAATCGAGGGTCTACTATAATCAGTTACACCATTTAGTCGTCTGTGATATTATGTAATAAACACAATATTATGATACCAATCATTGGGCCCTAACCTAATACGGATAGACGTTACCAACTGATGGTTTTTAGTGTCTGTTCGTTTCTCCCATCTGGTACACCGGGTTTTTAGTTAAAAAAAAAAAAAAAAAAAAATTGAATTTGTGTAAACTTTAAGTCAAAAGTGTTACTTGAGCACAAAACTTAATAGTGTCATTCTGCATAGATCTACATAAAATTGTTTTACTGGTTTGATAACAATTTTTTTAAGATTTTAAGTGTTTTTTGTTAAAATATACGCAATCTGCGAAAACACAGTTTTCCGGCAATGAAAAAAAAACTGTAATGCCGAATTATTTTTCCGTTTAATATGTTGTGGATACATATAAGTTCCAACTACTGGCAAATTTTCAACCCAAAGGTCTTAAAATTACGGCTAAAAACCCTGAAAAACAAAAAACCTTGTACCCCCCTAGGGGGGTGGGAAATGGGTTAAATTTAAATTTGATACAACTGACGTGCGCGGGCATACCAAATAAATATTTCTTATACATTTCAACTCGATCCGACTCTTTTTCTCGAAACTATAGCCAGTAAAAGTTCTAACTTTAAAAAGTCGTACGGTTTTATTTTTGTTTTTTCAAATTTCGTCTGTGAAGAGTTAAACTTTTTCAACTTTTACCCCCTTCAAAGTACCAACTAGATGAAATTTGCAATTTTTAGAGTTGCTATTCAAAGGAATTGGTCCAGTATTAAAAAAGTTACAGTGTATATAGATAAAAAAAAAACACACATCAGAGTAAAACCAATACCTTCTCGCTTTGCATCGAAGCTAAAAAACAACAAATAGGAATTTCCACCATAACAGGAAACATTCATAACATACTCTTATAAAAATTAATATCCTGTACTCTTACTGAACAACTATTACGGTTCACTTAAAAGCATAAACTAAAAGAATACCGTCATAATATATTAACTATTGTTAATATCTGTGTGATTATTGCAATACAATCAAACAATTAGATTAACACAATTTACAGCATAACCAACGTGCTGTTCTTGTCGAACCTTACCAAAAGACTAAACAAAAATTTTAAATAAAAAAAAATAAATGATAAAAAATAAAAAACATAAGTATAACAATGCATTAAACTATTGCAATATATAAGCACTAATATATATATATATAACATGTAAATATTAGACATACCTATTATTTATAAAGCCGCACAACTAACTTTATTATAACATACTTAATAATACCTATAAATTATGCATAACTTTCTTCTTATTTTCATAATTATTATCATTATTTACAATTAAGTTTTAAACATTTTTATTTATTTATTTTATAACACTAACATTAAGGATATTAAATAATTTTAATATAATAGTTAATTATTAAGTAACATTTAAGATATACTCATAAAACACACAATCAACACTGATTATAAAAGAACAAAAAAATAAATAAAACACAAAACAAAAAAAATAAAAAACTCAAGCACTATTAATCATTTAAAAATAACACAATCATTTCCACAATATTTAATTCAAAAGTTCAATTGTTATAGAATATAATTAACAAAATGAATTCAATCAAACATATTTGGATCATTGTCAAAAATATCACAAATTATCTTAATACTATTGAAACAATAAACTTTTTAGTGGCAATTAAATATCCATTAACGCAGAATCAAAAACAATTGATTAAGATTACACATCTTATGTATGAATTAAACAAATTCCTAGACACAAATGTTATTATTTGTGAAGGCAATCTAGATGACAAACAATTTAAGTGGCTTCAATCAAAATATTTAAAAATACAAATATATATTTATGGGCCTCAAGATATCATATATGTCGCTGTATTAGCAAAATATATTAAACTAAAACTAACATACGAGTGGAAAAATATAAAAAAAAAAACTTTATACTTTCAACCGACCATGGATAATGGCAGATATAGTTATTTAGTTGGTAAATTTATTTTCAAAAATAAAAATATATACGAATGGCATAATGTACAGTAGTTGGTGCAACCGAAAAGAAAGAAATCCTACATTTGAGGTTTTACTTGATCATTATATAAAAAATGATACACCTTGCTTTACATTAAAAAATTCTATTCCATTCGGATTAAAAGATAATTCAACAACAGCCTCCAAATTTAACTATACGGTATTCCACAATGAAGACAGAGGCTTCATATTAATAAATAATGGTGTCACAACTATAAAAAGGGATTATGAATACTGCACACATTGTCATCAAATACATTAAATGTAAATAATAGGCTAAACAAAATAAAAATATACAACCAATTATCACATATACATGC